CCTGCTTACCACTGCATGTATCCCACTACTCACGCATACATATGTCTATGTATGAAGCTAGATTGATAAATAAGTTCATGGTGTTTTTGTCTCTGTGTTTAGGTTCAGTCAATGCTTGCCTCAATCGGAGAAAATGACCTGGGCTGTTTGTAAGCGCTTCATCTGCTCTAATGTACTGTACTTATCGCTTTCTCAGTATTCTAACTGTATTCTCATATAAGTCTAAGAAAATAGAACATCCGACTTTTAAAAGTGGGAGTTTTCCGCAACTGCTCTTGGGTTTTCATAAAGACCAAAAGCACACACATCGGCGCGGTACATTTGTGTCGTAGAGAGGATGAGAAGGCAAATGACTGCTTGATCGGTTTCGAGTATAAAAAGAAATACTGCCTCGAACGAAACGCCCCACTAAAGCGTCAGTAAATGCGCCCAATGTAAAAACTTCGTGCTCTGGACAGCTTCGTAAAAAATGAGAAAATTGACAAGGATCTTTGAATAGCTCGGTTGTATCGCGTTGATGAGGTGTGCGGTTGAAAAGGCGCGACCAACACACCACGACCTTTCTACTAACCGAATTTTCTGTGAAGGCTAAAAGAGATAGAACCGAGAAAAAAATCCAACTATTTGCGACGCCAGTGTCGGTGTTTTCTCAAAGATATTTTGGGAATTTTTTTCAATACTTTCTAGTTTCCCACAGTACTCTGCGCACATTTTTTCGAATGTTAATCATTACTGAGCTCCTGTTCAAGTACCTGGCAGTGAGTCCTACTGATAATCTTGCAGTTCCGTCTGGTGCTTCTCTACTTGTCCAAGATGTCCACTGAGCAGACTCTCGTCATGTACTCAGGTCATCCACTTGGTCTGTTCCCAAGCCATAGCGATGCCCCACGGGTGACCATAACCAATGGAATGGTGAGTATTTTCCTTCAGCTACAGCTGAATTTTCTATGAGCTTTCGCAGATGATTCCAAACTACTCCACAAAGCCGCTATACGATAAATATTTCGCCTTGGGTGTCACGCAGTATGGGCAGATGACAGCCGGCAGCTACTGTTATAGCCGCAGGCCATTGTCCATGCACGACGGTGAGAATCGACTGGAATCTTCACGAAAATTGCCTGCAATCCTCGTTTGTTCAGATCAACATTTGAATCGGGCGACGTATCTTGGACGGGGTGAACCTTAAAGAAAGTAAATTGCGAACCGGCCGGACTGGGTGAAGAGTGAGCCATCCAAACCGGCAAAATTGCCGTTGCATCTCATCACTGCAGAGTAGCCATAAGCTATCCATAAACTAGGTAGATTTGGAAAAAAAAGAAGGAAGCTTAAATCTCACGAATGAGAAACATGTATAACCGTTTAATCTTTGTTTGGTCTTCATCTCTACAACTGTAGTCTTCTGTAAGAATGATCGTCGGCTCGTATTCATTTTTTGTGAAAACTTCCAAAAATTTTAGCCACATACTGCAGTTATGCGCAAAAACAACCTTTGAAGTTGTCGATCAGGTCCACATGCTGACCCGCCCTCACGTTCACATATACCTTCTCCTCAGCGAACGAGTACTTCAATTTTCGATACCAGTTCCAACAACATCACTCAAGGGATAACGGCCTCCAACAAGTCACTCAATCAGCACATTGAAGAACACAACCAAACAACCATCAGGCACCACGATTCATCTCGGAACGGTAAAGCTCTCTAAGAAGAAAACCTTCAGTGGGGAAGGGTGATCCTTGCCGAACACGCGACAACTTGCAACAACCTTTGAGTGTCACTTTTCTACGTCCACCAGAAATGCATGCAACTGGAAAGGCGAACTGCCATGATGCCGGGTCGAGGCGAAGCGCCAAAATATAGGGTTTGCGCGGTAACAAAAATAATGGCATATATAGTCAAACCGGCCCTTGACTTCCTTGTAGAATACGCTTTTCAAACCTTGGAAGAAGCAGTGAAATCGCTCAATGTTCTAACGAACATAGGCACAACTTCTGAAACTTCAGGATCAACTTACCTACCTTTTGTCGTCACATACACGTTAGGCTCTCCTGTCCCAAAGCAATACTCCAACCTGCATGTTTCAGAGTCCCACGCAGTTCTTGGACATCTAACCATTACCCAGTTTTAAGGTAGATTATATTCACAAGGGTAAGCCGCAGTCCGTACGTAGACCTTGCTATGACCGCGCAGTGCAGGCTGGGATCACTGAACTTAATCGTAAAAACTACTAAGACAGCACTCGTGAAGCAGCGCCATGAATTTCGTCTCCATTGACAAAGAATTGAGCTCGATTGCGTTGTTGTTCGGCGAAGTGAAGGTGAGCGCCAGGCCCTGTCCACGTCAGGATGTTTCACTCTCTCGAACTAGTAGTGATCCTGGCTGAGTGATAGAAGAGAGAGGGAAGGCCAAACTGGCATTCGCAAAACTTGGTTTACAAATAGTGCAATTCACAACAGCGGTGAAAGCTTTGATCATACAAAAGGCTCACTACGTACATAACTTAGGGGTACTTAATTACGTGCACAAGAAACAACTAGAACTTGTTCTTCACATCAGTTTTGCTTAGGTATTTTTCACTAAAGCGAATCACTAAATTTGTTCCTTGATCTAGGTGTGTAATTTTATCCGACTCAAGAGTTAATGTGATTCGAAAGAAAAAGCGAAAAAGCGAGCATCCAGCAAGTGGTTCGAGAATGAAAGTATCTTCTATCATTGACATTCGAAACCAAGTCAAGGGGTGCATCCGAGAAACCGCTCCTTCTGAATTCCGGAAAAAAGAGCACCTAGAGCACATCCACAGCTTCTCAAACATTTGCCTTCTTCAACCTTCCTATTGAAGCGAATGTTAGCAGAACTTGAATGCGATAATTCCACAAAGAAAAAGCGAAAAAGCGAGCATCCAGCAAGTGGTTCGAGAATGAAAGTATCTTCTATCATTGACATTCGAAACCGAATGGAGAAGTTCGCACTGTAAACTGCAGTCGACAATAGGGGTGTTCAACCCATTATTGGAGGTAGAGATGGCAGGCTGTGCCTAAAAATCGCTTAGCACATTGCGGACCGCCTTCGTATCTTTTTTATATTTTTCTAAAAATGAATCATCATTAATCTATCAACAATTTTATCAGTGATGACACGTATGGTTTCCGGTTCTGAAAATGAGTGCAAACAGTTAGGAACATTGAAAAATGTCAAATAAATCAGATAAAACTATGCTTTTTCGTGCGAAATCGTGCGCCACATGGTGGCGCACGCGGTACGCAATGTGTTAGAGGTGACGATGTTTCTACAGCAATTACGATGGGGCCTGATTCTCACTTGAGTGGATATGATTTTAGCAAAAACGCCCACAGAATTGGAATGCGGAAGTCTCCCATTATTGTACAGGCCGACCGACTGACTGTCATTCATTTTCTCAAAGCAACG